TTCATCGCGCTGTCATGACCGATTCCGCCATTTTTTCATAAAACAACTGAAAAATACTTTAATAATATGTTTTTAATTGATGAAATGTCTGATGACGTGCCTCGTTACATAAATAGAATATAAACAGTTTGTTGTTGTTTGTTTGTTAACTATAAACTACTGAGTCCTAGAATAATCAAGATTAATTCTTAATATTAATCTACTTTATTATGGCTCAGTGACATGTCCATAACCTATAAAGCATTTTAGTCTGGCCTTAAGTACACGCCAAAATCTTCGCGCCGGGAGAAAGTAAGTCATTATACGTATCAAGTCATATATAAAGGCGATCATTTCGGTATTCGCCCTCTTTTCTCGACAAAGCAGTAAGCAAAAAACCCACCCACCGCACCCAGAAGTATCATGTTATCTGTTTTCATATCTTAGTATTTGATGTTTTATGAAATTGTTGAAGTCAAATGGTGCTGCTTAGCTTTTATATTTCAGTATGTTTCTGGCTGTAACTGCGCCCGTACTGCTGACTTTAGGGAGGCACGCTAAACGTTAAATGGACGAATATACACAATGAACAGCCAATGCCGGAGTTCCATAGCAGCATTCACCGGACTGATTGTACTAACGACTTGTGTAAAACTATCCTAGACAAGGATCAACAATGTTTACTATTTGTACATATGTGTTTATTAACAATATACGCCGGGATTCAAGAATGAACAAACAATTTGAACAAAGTGCAGCACCCTTTGGTCGGAGAGTACTAACGACTTTGTTAATTATAATTGTGTAAAATCGAGCGTGTTAAACCATCCTAGACAAGGATAAACAGTTTATTTCAATACATATGTGTTTAATTACAAACTTAAGTTGGAGACAGGCATATATATTAACAGCGTTTACAAAACAATAGTTTTCATACTTTATTTATTGTTATGACAGCGGAAAATTCTTTTTCTTAGGTGCGACCAGGAGTCACTTGCTACAATTTGCTAGTGTCTTTCATGCAGGGAGATAAAAAATTCACATTGCATACCTATGGTCGTGGAATATTCCATAGTGGTTGTCTGTGGGTAGACTGCGATCTGTAGGATTCAAAATTACTTATTTGGTTTAAATGGGCCTTCAAGAACTGGCCGGATAGCTATGAATAGGCGTTCTTTGATGAGCTCTAATTTTGTTAGGCCTATCTTATGTTAAGCACTGTATAACTATGTTGCACTGGTGGTTATATCAGGTACTGCGGAGTACCTTGCTTGCTGGTTATATTAGGTACGGCGGAGTACCTTGCTTGCTGGTTATATTGGGTACGGCGGAGTACCTTGGCTACTGGTTATATTAGGTACAGCGGAGTACCTTGGCTGCTGGTTATATTAGGTACGGCGGAGTACCATGTTTGCTGGTTATATTGGGTACGGCGGTGTACCTTCTTAGCATACTATATATATCGCCAGGCGGCGGCTATCATTACAAAATAATAGTGCAATAGGGGTAGGGATCTATTTTGGGCGTACGGCATATCGCTCCTGGTCGCACCTTTTATCTCCTATAGTGGTAGTCTGTAGGTAGATCAATTTAATCTTCATTAGTGGTTGTCTGATGAAGATTCATCGCGCTGTCATGACCGATTCCGCCATTTTTCATAAACCAACTGAAAATACTTAATAATATGTTTTTATCGATGAAATGTCTGATGACGTGCCTCGTTACATAAATAGAATATAAACAGTTTGTTGTTGTTTGTTTGTTAACTATAAACTACTGAGTCCTAGAATAATGAAATTTTAACTAAGAGATTGAAAAATTCATTTATATCACATTTCACTAAAGTCACCATGAATATTGAAATGATTGATTTGTATTGTCTAACCTGTAGTAAGAACAGTAGCTGCTGCAGCGAGCTCAGAGTAAACATTATAATTGGGCAGTAACTGAGTGACGGCCATTTCATCTACCCCACATCGTATCTCTGCCTCCTCACACAGCAGGTGGAAACACGACATTGCTGTCAACACCGCATCTATATCTATACTCCATAGATACATGAAAAACACAACCTGAAATCAAGTCATATATAGGTATTAGTATAAATTGTTACTAAAATTATGTCAATAGTTTTTCAATATTTACACATTGCAAATAATATTTTCAAACATATCTTAAGCAAGTTAACCACAAAAGGTTATACACATCCCCAAAAATATCTCATTTTTGTTCAGACAACTTGCCAAAGGATACATGCAAAACTATGAAAACTTAAATTGTCTCTGATACAACACTTAAATTCTTAACTTTTCTTTTTTAATAAAACAATACCTGGAAGGATTTGAACAAGCAAGTGATTTTGAGTCAGCATTAGGTAACCTTAACCACTCTGACATGATGGAACAATTGTTATTTATAATATTAACTATCTATGAAGAAATTATAAAATGTACTATAAATACAATTTCAGGCACAAAAAAGATAGTATAATTAAATACATTTAAAATATCTCACCTCTAACTTGATATGAGCTTGTTTACAGACTGGTATGTTACTGCCTACGTTGGCATTGGAGCTGTGTTTCTGCAAGAAGCTGTTACGGCATACAAGGATCTCCTGTAACCACTTCAGTATCTCCGTATAGTTTATAATTTGATGCTGTATCAACTTCTGCGAGATTGAGAACAATACCTGCGAGCTGTAATATAGTCATGTACAATTTAAAGTTAAAACTGGAATGATTTATTAAACTGACATACTTTACAAATAATAGCCCTTAAGTTAGAGGGACAATATTTAAACCCTACTAAAACCTCAGAGTTGCTTCCCTTTCATTATGCAATTTTGTAACTATTTAGAGTAACAAGTGTATTAAGTTCATTGCATGTTATACAAATGTATCCAAGAAGTTCTGCAATACTCGAATGCAACATGACAAACTATAGTTATAATGTAGATGAAACACAGAAAGACATTGGTGCAGCATTACATGATAAAAGGAAAGTTAACTCACTTGACATCCCAGAATGTGTTAATTGGGGCTTCAGGATTCCACAGTTCAATGTTGACTGGTTGATGTAAACATAATAATGCCTGGAAAGGTAAAAACATTTTTATATCACCTATACATATAAAGAATGTAAAGCCATTATTTACAACAATAAAAGTAAAGTTCATTTACGAATTACAATTAATTAACTACAGATATCATCGCATGTATTTACATAATGTAAGTTCTGTGATTTTATATACAAGCTTTAATGGTACTTCATTTACAAACCAAAATTCTTTTAATGATTAACCACAAAAGCTGCAACATAAATCCATATCTAGTTAGTTCATAGAGTAAAAGATACCTCCATAGCCTCCTGGGCCACATCTTCTGGCATCCATTGTTGATGTACCAATGATACAAGGCCGTTGATCAACTCTAGTGTACTGCTCTGTATCTCATGTCCTGGTTTACCCTGGTTCTAAAATGTATTATAAACTGGTTAGAACTGGATCTATTAACATCATATAATGATAACTGTTATATACATGTACCTGTTTACCCTGGTTCTAGTAACATTATATACCAGTTTTCACTGGCTAGAATAACATTATAAACCAATTTACCCTGGTTCTATTAATATTATACGCCAGTGTACTGTAGTTCTATAAACATTATATACTTGTACAAACAAGATTATCATGGCAAACCCAAGCCAACAATTTAGAACCAAACAAGCCAGCTCATCTATGCAGTCTAACTAGATTTTCATACCGTCTGCTTTTCTAGCAATTATATCCCTCACATTATCAACTGACAGTTCCAAAGTTACCTTCAACAAGTTCACTCCACAAATATCAGACAGGAAAGAGTTAAGATTCTTGCAACTGACAAGAATGCAAATTAACATAGAGTTTAGAGGGCATTGACTTACATGTAACATAAGGTTAGGGTCAGCATGAATGAGTCGTACAATCCACAGTAGAAGATATCTGTATGTCGTCATTGTCTCATTGGTTGGCTTGGTCAGTATACTAATTCTCGTTAAACTCTGTAATACACATAAATCTTACATTTTATACAGTACACAATATATACATAATAGCTTATTAACATATGTGTACCATAATTCAACATACCATAATCTATAATAAGATCGTTTTTGTTCAAGTAGAATTTCATCTGGATTACAAAATATATAAGTACATAAGCATAGTAGAGACTTAAAACGATGCTTTTTCATCATCATAACAGATTTTGTTAAAGAGGAAACATTTGTACACTTACAAAAATTCTGGAAAAAAAAATGCTTGTATCTTCTTATATATGACATATATGAACAATTTTGGACTGTGATATAAACTGATAAGCATCAATTTATTAAATCAACTATGTTACTGCTGTTCATTTCTATGCTACCAAACATAATCTATTTTCTCCATGTTGGTTCAGCTATCCAGATTAGGTAAGTAGGTACAATGTAAAGCTAGCATGGTACAGAACAAACTTAGTTTATCATACATTTACAATTACAACATTTAGGTCTCACCATAGGTTAACATTTGTAACTTTGTGTGTACAAATTAACACTTTAGCCTTCATACAAATAAACATTAAAGACTATTTACACATACGTATGGCAGTCCTCCGACCCCTGTAGGTTTCTGTGTTGTATGTGTGCCCATTCCTTGGGTAACTTTATTTAATGTATCTGTAAACATGTTCCGTAACTCTGCCGCTTTCCCGTATATTATACTGATGTTGGGCCACCATGACAAACGTCGCTGTAACAACAAGTACAGAGGAATTCATAAACTTGTAACGTTAATATAACCTTAAAAACATTACAACGAAATAAATAATACAGATAACTTAACTGGCAGGTTATACATTGTACCTTTAATAATAGGCAAAATGGGTCTGTGACTTTACAATATACAGTCAAACGTGTATTAAGCGACCGCGCAAGGGAAAGACCCAAAACGGTCGCTTAATGAAACAGTCTCTTAAGACAGTCAGCATGATATAGAAGTCAAAATTTATAAATGACATCTTTCTTATGCGGTAGGAATGTTTTTCAACTTTTAATCTAAGTGGATGCAAATGTAATAAATAACTTTCTGATATTTATTGACAAAACGGGGTGCAAAATAGTTTTGATCCATTACATACATGTTTGACATTTTTTCCAGAATTTGTTAACTTCTCCGTTGTTTTTCCTTGTCTCCAACACGAAAACCCTATTAGTGAAGATGTTTTCTGTTGTGCATTTTTTCATTTGAAATAAACAAACCACATCTAATTGTTACGATAAATTTAATTGCTGATAAAGTTCAAGGTCAATTCAATGCAGTCTAAATGTCAACAAGCGAAGCGTATACACCATCTCAGTAGGGGCGGAGCGTTGCATTATTTATCCGATATTATTGGATAATACACGTCACACGTATACTTAACTTCATTTGCATACGCTAAAACGGTTTGGGAAATAGTTTTTCACACGTTTATTTGTTGTGTTTTGATTGTTGACACTTGTGATATTACAAAGCGGCGTTCTCTAAAAACACAATTACTTGACAGGTAAAAGTGGTCGTTTAATGAAAAGCTTTATCTCAATTAGGTGACTAATTAGCGGTCGCTGGTCGCATTGAGCAAAAGTCGCTTAATACATTAAAGATATAGAGAGAAAATGATCAGGGGGAATTTAAAGTGGTCGTTTAAGACAAAAGTCGCTTAATACACGTGGTCGCATGGGCAAGTTAGACTGTACATATATTTCCACTAATGGTTGGCATGTTTTCCATCATATTCATTAAAAGATTACAGTTTCATGCTACCACAACATTTACACCTATAATATACCCTTCCAATCAGACATTATACGGATTTTTAAAGATTTAAAATCAAGAAAGTGCAATCGAAAAACTATAAATATAATTAAAGCCATTTCACAATCTTTATATGAAGCAATATACCTGTGTTATAATTCTATGTAGAGCATTGACAAGAACAAAGTGGTAGATTGGTGGGGAGTGGGGATTGAGGCAGACTTTCAGAACATCATTGTTGTGTGGTGTGATGCGAAAACACGAAACAAAACAGTCTATATATAGATCCAAATCCTGGCCCACAATGCTCTGACCTCTCGTGAATGTCTTACTGTTTGGTGGCGGGTTGAATAACAGAGACTGGAAGATAAACATATCAAATACACATAAATGAAATAAAAACTATATACTGCTTTAATTGTTCAACAGTATTGGAAAACAAATACCATTAATCACTAGACAATAGAGTTCTGTTTCAAAAATTGTTAAACCATTATTATCCCATCACATAGAAACTTTCAGAAACAAATAACTGATTTCTTGAGACTTAAACTTATGAAATCATTTTTATCAGGAAACATGTTCTTCCATAAAAAAAATACTTAGACTTCTAACCGGAAAGAAAATTGTAACTAAAATTTCACAAACAGATAACAGATGAAATATTTCCCATAATCAAAAAAGCATGAAATTTTGACATATGAGTGAATGAACTCTCACTGGAGTTGAATATGCCAAAGATAATAATTTGGACAAGGTCACACTTACCTTCAGATCTCCTATCACAGACTGCACTAAACTGAAGAGAACATTGAGTCTATCATGAATGCTGATATATGTTGAGGCCTTACACAGACGGACACACGTAACTGCTGCACCCTCAGCTAGAGATTTATGACAACTATGATGATTGGCTATTGTTTTCTTCACCTCATCTATAAAATGTTTCTGAAAAAGAAACAATTCACATCCCTTATACAATATGAATATCATTTTAACATTACAAATAGCATGTACTAAAAAGTATGTTTAAATATAGAGTAGATTAAAATTGACTTAATGCAAAGCATTTTAATGTTTTTAGTTTTTATTCATCAAGCCAATGTAAAGTTGCAATATCACTTGAACTAAGCCAGATAGATTAAAAACCAAAATGACCAGCCTCTATATCAAGATCCAGACATCAATACAGGAAATCTTTGTACTGGTATTATGGAATATCACAAATATAAAGTGCAGTGTATGAAAAGACAGAGGTAATGACAAATAACTATTTGTCTAATTCTTAACTCTAGATTTATCATTTGTTTGTAGTATATTTAAATCTGACCATTTTTTTTTACCTTTTTAAGATGCTGGGGTGAACATGGGGCTCCACCATCTGCATTGTTGATCTCCTCCAAAATTTTCTACAAAAAATAAACATACAAAAAACACTTTATCTACAAGCATAATCAGTTCATATATTCAGGTAATAATAACTACAACTTTCTAAAACATCTTAAATTAATTTTTTCACTCAAAAACTGATCATCTGTACAATAGCAGTCATATATTTTCATAAGACTAGCTATATTCTCTGAAAAAAAACAACAAATCAAAATTTTCTGTATAAATAAACTTACCGGACAGAGAATAAGCAACATCATCTGGAATGGCCACACAGAGGCCTTCCTTTTTGTCGAGTTCTCCATGAAGGATAGATACTGCTCAAACAGTTTGTCACAACAATCTGTAACATACATGTACATAGTCAATATATGACATACTTGTCAATATACATTTTTCATTTGAATAATTATCATCAAAAGTACAAATCCATTAGTAAACCATTAGTAAAATTAAACTTTCACATAATTTTTAATCTGCAAAAGGAAATTTGTCCCAAGATGCCATTTTACCTTATAAACTACAGTAGTGTCTAACATGAATGCAAAAGCTGCTGTAATACTGTAATTAACATTAGAACTGACATATTTCTCACCAATTATAAAAAAAAAAAAATACATAAAATAGGTAACTAAAATCTTCAAAATCCTTTATAAAAACTTTAGAAACAGTTATATGTGTATAAAGTAAACTACAGAAATAATGTTCAAACCTTGTAGTTCCTCATTTGGTTGTTTTTGTAGATCTGTAAACTCCTCAGGATAATTGTCCATCCAATTCCATATTGCCTGAAATACAACAGCAATACTGTAACAATCTTGCCACTAAGACTATCAAATCTGTAAACCAAAATCTTTTTGTACCAAGCTACCCTAGGAACAACCTACTTATATATTTCTTTGTAGTTTTAAGATCTTGAATACTTTAAGTTTTATAAAGTCTTAAATGAAAATATCCTTTACCTTTTCCAGGTTATGTGCTAAAGCAGATATAACCTGTTTGGATTTCAACAGACGAAACTTGGACACCACATCTGTAAAAGAATTCAGACTGAATTATACTGTATGTGTAAAATTTTAGAACAGTAGAACATGTATTTTGTTCATTTTGTTTGGCCAAAAAAAGACCCGAATTGCAGTTTTTCCTGTTACACAGTGGAGGTTTATTTCAGGCATGTTTAAGCTCTTTGGTAGGTATAATGAACCTTAATGGTCAAAGTCCAAGGCAGGATTTTCAAGCACATATGTAAGGTGAAAAATTCCAAGTCAAAAATCTTTACTACAAAGCTTTTGAAGCCACAATATTTACCTGAAAGGAAAATGATTTTGCTTTTGTCAACAGCATAGAGCCAGACCAATTTGTACATATGTGCAGTTTAACCAGGCTCTATACTGTTGGGAGCTAAAATTTTGATACTGAAATCTCTTACATTTTGAATGAACTGTTCCAAATTCAAAGCAGAGTAAATCCATTATGCAAATTCAGCAGGTTAAGGGTTAAGTAAAATCAGCATTAAAAGAGTTTTAAAACAATAATGAAATCTGCACCTAAAAAACTGATCTTTAAAGAATCAAATATACAGGAAAACAACCTTGTATATACAGTAAACTCTGAAAATATTTTAGAAACCAGAATCCATTCAGCAGAGTACTTACCACTGAGGAGTTTTGTAAGTCGTGTCACATCCACGTTGAGATGTTGTATAAGTTCAAGGTCAGATAAATCAGATTGATCTTCACTGCATGTAGACAATGTCATCAACCTAGACACAACAATGATATACTTTCATCTTTTATCTTCCTTTCGAAACAATAGCCCAAACATAATTCACTTGCTGAACACTCATTTTTTCCAAGCCTTATCATATTTGACTAATATTACATGTATGAGATTATTTTTTCTCCCGGATAAATATTTTTAATTTTAATCATAGTTAACACAAACACTTAACTGTTAGTGTGATTGGTAAATTTAATTATAAAATCATGAGTATTTTACATACAAGGCTATCAATAAATTTAATTCCAGAAAATATGTTTAAGGAAAGAAATGGGGAAATTTTAGACTGTATAAAAGGAGTACTATTTATATAGAATTGTAACTGTTTTTCAATAAATAAATTTGATACACTGACAGTTCACTTTGTTTTTAGGCAAATATATGGTTATTTCAACCCAAATTGTTCTACATTTATACCAATAACCATAAAGCCCATACAGATATCACTGCAGAGAGATACTTATACATCATAACATGTATAAAGGGTTTACATACAGCTGATTAATAAAATCAATGTTAATAAGATAAATTAACAAATAATTAAAATTAGTGATGTTCCGATTGTCGCAAGTCGCCGATGATCAGTTAATGTTATGTAAAACGACAATTATCGATTCACAAAAATTTGTTCCGCGATCGTCGAAAATGTTTAAAGTATCAAAGGGAATTAATTCTGACGGTAATATTCTTTTAGGAACACCTCGCCGATCGCAAAAAAATCACTCCGAGACAATTTGGAGTTGAACAGGATCAATAAGTGATGTAAACAATAGTAATAAAATGTGATGTGAATGTTCTTATTCGACATCCATTGAAAAATAAAATCTATATCGTAAAATTATGACTATATTAGGTTAAAACTGTGTTGAAAAGTGTTAAATGAAGTTCATGTTACTAAATATAATCAAGTCCCTTGGTAAGAAATGTTAATTCCCTATTTCTTTTTAACGCGACTTTATTCGAAAGTTATCGATTATGTCCCATCCGACTGAACCGATGATCGATTGGGACAAATTTCATCCGATTTCCATCACTAATTAAAATGACTATTACCTTGCAGATATCCGACTGAAAACAGCATTAAATGCGTTCAAGCTAAGCGCAAACAGAACCTTAGATGCTAAACTCTTTAACTGTAGAACATATGGTGTATCTGACTGCAGGTTCAAAAACTGTAACAAAAATATTACCACATTTTATTTCATTGTTACATTCTACAACAAAAACATACTTGATGTACAGATAAAATGCTTAATGACTGTTTTTACAAGAAAATTTTTAAAAAATTCAGTTCAATAACTAATTTACTGCCAAAAACATAGAATGTGTAGAATCTCTACATTTCAAAGCATCGGACAAGCGTTAAAAAAAAAACCCCTTTATTTCATATATAACATAAGCTAGCCAGGTAGAACTCATAGGTAGTTTTAGAACAAGGGGAATAATAAAGTTGTCTTACTTTACATATTTCAGGCAACAAAAGCTTCACATAGATGGCCTCATCCAGGCGCGATGTATCTTTTGGTTGCTGAAATAAAAATTTTAAAAAAAATCAAAATACACAGTATTATATTGCAATATGTATATATATTGCATATATTCCAGTGTATAGGTTAAGAATATCATAGCTTTTGACTTATATAGGTCAGAATACACATATGACATAATTATAGTAACAAATTTATCTTAAAAATGCCAAAATATGAATGTTTGTATGTTGACATGTTACGCCATTCATGCATGTTTTTACCAAGATTACCTTGCATTTTTCTATGCATTCTGACCAAACACTATACACTGACCGGTGTTCAAGTTTATAACCCTAATCTTGATATCCCATCAACTAACAATTTACAATATTGTTCTAAAATAAAAACAATACAAGTCCATCCTATAAATTCAGTAGAATAAGGCTTTACCTACCTGATACTAAACTTAAAATGATATTGGATAAGTTTTTTTTCACACAATAATGAATACAGGTCCTATCTTTCCTTACTTTTTTCTGACAACACTGTTAAACAGTAATAACTTACGGAGTTGAGGACTTTGACAAGGGTATCAAGGATAATCAGCTGGGATTCAAAATAGTTTCTCTCTGCCTCTGAACCAATTATTCTCTAAAATATAAAGAAAACATAGAACTTGTTGTTATACAGAATTTGGTATAATTTTCAGTTTCTACTTAATCATAAGTATATGAATGTACAAGTGTCTACATAACAAGTGGTTACAATATATCTTGTCCGGTCACTGCTGTCCAAGTTTATATACATGTATACATAGTATTATATATATATAACAAAATGTATCACTTATTGTTCAATGCAAAACTACAGCAACAAATTAGGAAAATACTTTTGTCAGTGGAGAAAACAAGACATTAAACTTTTTTGGAGTTTTTGCAATAAAAATGCATGAATCAAAAATAAGAACTTCTATTTGTACTGCTTTTCAAATCAGAACTCTTCCATGTTAATTATTTTTCTCTTTACCCAAAATTGACAAAATTCTGTTATACATTACATGAACTGTGTCATTTAAAGTGATGGAGATAATACTTGAAAATAGGTCTAAGGATCTGTGTTAGATTCTAAGTGATGAACATTTGTACAGGTAATTTCAAAATCCATCAAAACTTTATAAAGATATGGAATGTGAATTCAAATAAACTCTGTTTTAGATGCTTGATCTATGGTCTACTACTGTTGAAGATTTATGCAGAATAACTTCAAAATTAATTAAAGAATTAAGTTATGGACCAGACACACAAAAATAATACTCAATTTCGGCCTTTGACCCCTATTATTTATATAGGCCTACATTGTTGGTACATGAAGCTCAATTTTTGTATTCTGATATTGAAATCCCTAAAACTTTCAATGGACTATCCCACAATCCAAGCAGGGCAAATCCATTATCCATATTCAGCACGTTAAGGGTCAATCGTGCAATGTTAAAGAAAGAGATTCCATTGTAATACTGATTGTAAACTATTATAATATATAAGTTTACAAAGTGATGACCTACTGGTGCATACACAATCTTAACTATCACCAAATTAGTACACAGATGATCCCTCAAAACTAGTGAGTTACTGACTAAGATAACTGGTGAAATTATCTCCACTTTTATCAGTTTATACAACGAACAAAGTCCCTTTTCCTCTGAGGTCCTTCTCTGGGGTTTTTGATTAATTTTGAATGTCAATAAATCACACCTTTATACAAATTAAAATTCCATGTCATATAGTTGTTTTTTTTACATTTAAATCAATGTATATCAATCAATTTCATGTTAAAGATAGATCTACTATGAATTTTCTTCAACTCCTGTATGAAATATCTTTCACATATCTCCAGCCAGTGGCTTACAATATCACAACATGTTTTGTTAACTTGATTAACCTCTCCTCACAAAACTTTGTTATCATGGCTTTTCTAAAGGATATATCAATGACTATTTAAATACACAGAGAAAATGACACAATGTGAATGAAAATACTACCTTAACACATTAAAATGTGAACAATTTTACGATAAGAATTCCAAAGAAGTCAAGGAAATTTATCTTAAACATGAATGGCGGCAATTTGGCATTATGACCTTAAATGTGTAAACCTAATATTTGAACACAACTATACATGTGTAAAAGCTGCAAATATAACAGTTTGAAGTGAATCAGATATGACATGGAACATGTAAATTCTGCAAATTTATCTGAGTTTATCACCTGAAATTCGTTATAATCATAGATGACTGATCATTGATTCTAAAGTCAAATAAATCAGAGAAAGTTGACCGATATATACAAGTTCATTGGTTGATAACAGTTACATGTGATGGATAATAACGTCTCTAGGATTAACTCGAAATCATCGGATGGTGTTCTAGAAGAAGTAGAATTAAATGTTGCAAAATCATCTGATGATGTTCCAGAAGAAGTAGAATCAACATCTGATGGTGTTCAAGAAGTAAAATTAAATGTTGCAAAATCATCTGATAGTGTTCAAGAAGAAGTAGAATTAAATGCTGCAAAATCATTTCATGGTGCTCTAGAAGAAGTAGAATTAAATGCTGCAAAATCATCTTATGGTGTTCCAGAAGAAGTAGAATTAAATGCTGCAAAATCATCTTATGGTGTTCCAGAAGAAGTAGAATTAAATGTCGCAAGTGAGTTACACAACTTTTAACCATTTATATTCCTGCTTTCATTGTTTGTTGACAACTAAACCATTAGCATTATTTAATAATGATTAATTCAGCATGAGCAAGATCTTAGTAATAGAAAGTTTATCATAACTTTGCGATAAGTCAGCATTTCAATTTAATTCCAAGCCTAAATTGTAAATTGAATGGTGATAGGGTGTATGAAATGAGAACAAATTTTAATTTTGAAGAAAAATTATCCCTACCCATATCTAAATGATAAACTTTATACAAATCTAATATAAGTAAAATTCTTAATAAGTAATCTTAATGATTCTCAAGGGTACTCATTAAAATATGTATAACATGTCTGATCTAAAAATGTTTTATTCTATAACTGTATTTCAATAGCTCAGAAAATATCATTTGAAATTTACATCATTTTAAAACCGTACATAGGAACAAAATCATAGACACAGAGAAACACCTCTAAAATCCTCAACATTTTACACACCTAAAATCATCTGACACTTCCGACAAAAAGAATACCCTGTCAGTATTATAACACGAGCAGTTTGTGACAAGCACCTGTTTAGACACTTATTGTTAACTGTCTTGTCATACATAAGAGAACATCTGAAGCTAAAAAGCCTGACACAGTTCAGATTTAACCCCGGCTCTGACAAATTAATGTCATTTCAAGCAAAAACATGTAATGAACTTCCTCCAGTGAGTTAAGACAAGCTAAAAATAACCATATGTGTCAAGAATAATTAGTAAACACATAAATGATTTAGTTCGCACAGAAACATTCACTTTTCAAAAATAGCATTCCTTTCTAGCTTATTGTTCACAGTTAATGAGACATTTTTAAGTGATTTTTGGTCACAGAAATGTATTTTAAGGTGCATTAAGCCTCAGAAATAATTACATGTATTTTTCTTTCTGTACAAAGGGTAAACATAAGTTTTACAATGTGGTAATTATGGAATCAGTACATATTAGATGTTCATCATTTGAAGACAATAGTGTTGAATATGAAATAATTTCTTGTATTTTGACTGCTTCCTGTTAACTGTTCTAATTACCAAAATGCAAAGGAAGCAAAATATTGCTAAGCTAAATTACAATGTCAATAAGTACCGGTATGTCATGTAACTTTTTGGAAACTATAATGGGATCAGTGATTTTCCTACTTATATAACAGACTCCAAAAAAAGGCCTCTTCCCAATTGAAATTTTCTTTTAAATCATGCAGTTTTCCCAAAAATCTTAACTTACATTGTAATCCAGCTTTTTTACTTCCCAAATCAGCAATTTCAGCACTAATTTTTCCCAAAATCAAGAGGCTAAGGCCTCTTCCCAATTAAGTAAGAAAAATCACTGGGGATATATCAAAAATAAAAAGTTTTGAAAATTAAAAATATTATCATTCTGAAGGCTGAACAGGCCCTTTAATAAACTGAAAATGGTAATTTTAATGATATTGAATAAATACTGGAAACAGCAATCCAAATATTATGAAGTGTAAATGATCATGTTACCCCTCAACTCAACTATTTTTTCCTCTAAAGTAATTTACAAAGATCACCCCTCAACTTTTTAATTTCTTTTTGTACAAAAAGTCCCCTCAACACAGCTGTGGACTATCTGATGTGACAAAATAATTATTATCCACGATCACTAGCTGCATGGGTTCAAAACCCATCAGGGGCAAGTCATTGTTTCCTTCAGCAAGAAATTTTACACTAATTGCTCAGTAGTGGTAAGTTCCAGGAACGGATTCGAAAGTTTGCCTATAAGCTTATAGCTTCCTACACAATTGAACTAAAATAAATTCTGTATAAATTTAGCATTAATTTCAAAGTTTATCTTGTAACTCTTACCATGGACAACTTGCCAATACTTCAAATTTTAACGCTAAAACTGCCTTTTTCCAAAATTTGTGTACATAAAATTAAAGTGAGGCAATCTGAATCATTTAGATTTGTAAGTCATGTCCTCACCAAAATTTAAAAGGATTTGAATCCTTTAAAAATTTGCCTACATAAAAAATCAGCAAGAAATCCCTAACCCCATAAAGTAAGAATTTATCACAAGATACAAACAACTTTTTTTGATTTTTACAAATTACATGTATTCAATTATGATTTAATTACAAATCTACATAATCACCCTATATGGTATTCCCAATGGTTCTTCAAGAATGGGCAGAATAATGGTTTAGCGCAAGTTGAATCTTGAACAAAACAATATTACATGTATGTATTTATTACCTTTTTTCAAATGGGGGAGATTGTACAAAGTTTGATCAATCTCCAAGGGACAAACAAATTATTAATGTTGTATATAAAAATAACAGATAATCAAATCTGTCAGTATTTGCAAGTGTGCCGGCAAAATATAATTATCCAAGTGTGAAAAGGGTGTGTTGCTTTAAAATTAAATTTAGCTACTTTGGAATCCATGATCATAATTTACTCTTAGAATACTAGCTGTGATACTGGAAGACTTATTCTACCAGCATTAATCAATGTCAACATCCATATTTTTTAAATCATTTCATATTTCAATCTTTATATCATGGGAATAAGCAAGGTTAATTAGTCAGTAGTTTAACAATATAGTCTTCACATTATCATGATCTTCTATGTTAAAAGTAAGAGACTTCAGCCATACTGTCAAACATTGTTTTATTCAAATTTTAAAACATTTAGAATAATCCAAGGGAGAGGTTCACACAAATAAAGAACTATACTGGTCGGAGACCATCAACCGGACACTTTTGGAACATTTTTCCATACAGATTTCATAATTTTTAACCTAGAGACCAAAAAATTTGACACAGTTTAGCTAGGTTGTTCTCCCTAACTAACAAACTAGTTTGTTTATTCCTGATTGTATTGACACTTATATCTGAGGCTCGACAAGGAGGGGTATCAAAAAATACCTAAATTGTCTACACTACAGTTACCATGTGTCCGGACAGATATGTACATGATGTGATTTAATTCAGATAAAAGCTTGGGTGTTTGATTTTTGATTTGTAAACATGATATACAGTATGTCAGCAACAAATGCTGAAGGTTTGGATATTCTATTATTCACTCTGCAAATGATTATAGCTGGTATATGAGGTCAGGCATTGCTTCTTGACCCCCCGAATTTCAACATCCAACATTCTTGAAATAGACATTAAAATATTACCATTTACAGAGGTTGAAATAAATTTATTTACTTAATTTTAAAAGAAACATGCATTTATTGTTGATAAAAAAAGTGACTGACAACCACTGAACAAAGAAAATACTAAATTAAGCATTTTCAGGGCCGTCCGGGTTTGGTGGTTGTCCGGTTTTGGACAGGTGGTCCCCAACCAGTACAGTGCTTGGAAGTTGTCATATGACCAACTTAAACTTATCCCTTTTTAGTAAAAGACATAATTTTCATCAGACATTTAAATTATCTACGTAAAGTAGATCTTACAATTTTCATTTGGGTAAAAAATCATTTCATTTAGAGAAATGAACCAAATGGTATCAACCAAATTGTCAATATGAACAAAAAAGGTGGGAAAAAAGGAGGAAAATAACTTTTTTAAAAATAAAATAACTACTAGATGACTATAAATAAGTTTACTTACGGTATTATTGACAGATTGTAATGTTTTCGTAAGACCGTTTATAACTTCTCGGAACTTATATCTTGAAACATTGATCAAACATTCCTTGTTCTGTTCAACATTCTGTATAGCTTGGGTAGTGTGTAGGCCTGTTTTTATTGGCAACTGAAAACAACATATACACAAATGAAGGCAATATTACATTGTACACTTATCTACATTTTTATAAGGTCCAATACAAAATTATCATCTTTAAACTTTTTTATTATAAAAAAGCACCTCTTATTTTATAGAAAATCTTCTAAATTTTAATGTTTTTCATCTAACATTAGGAAACTTTACAAATTGTACGAAAAAGCATTGATACAAGAATTCCTAAAAATCATGTGATAAAGGTTAGAAAATGCATTGTCTAAGAAAAAGATTAAAATAATGCATTTAAAATTCTTGAAAATATTTTTTCAATTAACTTATTTATTGTAATTTATTTTTTCTTTCTATAAATGAAAATCAGCTTTTTTCCTGGAATTGGAATTCTTTCACCCATAGAAAGATGACAATGTGTCACTTGTACAGAGATTTTATGTTTGATTATTGAACAAAAACCTACAAATAAGAAATGTTTTTGTTTTTACTAAATTTTAACTAAGCTGAAAAAAAGTTGTTTTTAAAAGGGTTTTAAAGGGTTGATTGGGTTAGAAGATCTAGCAGGAAAAACATGTTTTATCCCCTTAAAATCAAAAAAAATTCTTTCTGTTTTTATAAAAGTTTTTTCCCACCGAGGCCGCAGCCGCTTCTCTTGTATTTAAAATTCCAAAACTTATTTTTTTTTAAAAGATTTTTTATCTGTAACATCAGTCAGTGATCACTAAAAAATCCAACACACTCATGATTTACAAAAACATTCATTGTAAAAAAAATATTAAAAAACATTTGATAATGAAACAATTTCCTGTAATTGAGCAGTGGGCTATTCACAAAAATTATTGCAGAAAAGGGCCTTCATTTGCAGAATTCAGAAACATTACCTAAGTTAGTAAGTATCAAAATAATAACACTTCTATTTTTCCAACAGAATGATGTTTATATTTAAGTCAGAACATGAGTCACTAATTTTTTTCATACAATAATAACATCAACTGGAGATATGCCAAGAGAATTTCCTGCCCAAAGAGGATGGGCTTGTCAGGTTATAAAATATCTGGTTTAGAGTTGATAATCAACATACATTAGCCTACATACAAAACTGTATAGATTTTATGAATGAAATATAGGTAACAAATGACAGCTGGCAGTCACCCAAATTGTGTGTGAATTGAGGTGTGACAAAGGTCATTCATTGATTAAACAGGTGCCCGTCGATGTGTGACATATTTCCAGTACCCGACCACAAAACCCAGCTGATACGCTCACCCACGCACGGTCATTAAATATGCACAAATATGATAATAAATAAACATCGTCTGTCAACGAATTTTTCACAAATTACTTATGACCTTACAGTTGTTGAAAATGATAAATGCATACAGGAAACGACTTGACAAAAGCCATACCTGATGCATCTAATAATAACTATTCCCACGGTAAGTGGCAAGCCAATATTTTCATTCATAAATTTGCGGCCAATCCCTGTTAAAAAACGAGGTCAACATGCCCGAGAACTAAGATGATACAAACTGAAATACATGTACAATATTTACCTGTGCATCAAATCTGTTTATCAAAGACTGAACCCACTCCCCGGGCTTCTGTGTGGCCATCATAGAGGTAAAAGTTTTCTCTCTAATTCAATCTTCCTCTCCATCAGCCGCCATTTTGCTTATTTTGATAATTTACACGCATGCGCAGCGCCGTTTAAATTACCGATTCCTTCCATAAATGGCATCTTACTTTTTTAAGAAAATGGAAATGCCTGGGAGTGGTAGAGGAATATTTTTAAGCATGAATGATGTAAATATCTAGCTACACCTATTATCAGAAATAACACTTTATCAGGGGTAAATAAGAACCGTGCATTTAACTGTCAAAACAGATTGGGTATTTTTAGGACTTTTAAAAAGCGTATATTTTTAGGACTTAAAAGGGTATTTAAAATGCATGGGCATATTAAAAGAAATTTTTCATACTCCAACTTTGTTGATATAAAATACCTGGTGTATTGATACCTAAAAGTGTTAATCTTAAGCAAAATGAGACAATTCTTTAGGGCTTAATTGGTATATACATTATATGTCCTAGCAGTATTTTAATTGGTATTTCACTTGCAAGCATTTTACCTGGCTTTTATTGGATCAATGCGCCCCGTATCCAGGGGGATTTTGGAGGAAAAGGGAGATAAACAAATTTTCACCTACGTAAAGTCCCCCCCAGGGTAAAAGTTTTGGTCCCCCCAAATGCCCTTTCCGCCCGGGATTTTGTTTTTACATCTGACTATGCACGGGGTTTTGGTGTTTTCCCGAGTGGTTTTGGTTTGGGGGGAGGAGATGGGGGGGTGCATATGGGTTTTTCAAATGACGTTTCGGTATAAAATATTAAAAATTTTTACAGGCTGTAAAAAAAATTATTCCGTTATTATATATCCCAATTGGGTGAAAACTTTTTTTAGGAAAACATGGGGTTTTTTATAATTTTTTTAACGTTAGTATTTATATGTTGACATCTTAATTATGGTAAACATAAGTTGTCCTTGATGGACCTTGATGCATAAGGCATGACGCATACATGTACGTATTGTCTGTTAATCAGTACCACTAAAGTATTTAAATATTCATAGTTTTATTAGATAATTATATATGTATTTCTCATAGAGCAGTATAGATCTATATATAATTAAATAGAAAAAAATCCTTTACAAGTTATACGTTTTGTGATACATAAAAATAATTCATTCTTCTTTTACTCTTTTTTTATTATTAGATCTATTGTATATATATACATAAACGAAACCACGATGGTGAAAGGGTGGAAGTACAATGGTGAAAATAAGAAAATGTATCGAGTTTCGTTACATGTATTTCGACTTTTCACTATCGTCCCTTCGGCACCATCGTGACTTCATATTTCTACTTTTCATCATCGTAATGGCGTGCTTTCGTTGTTACGTGTATGTGTCGCGATGGCCCGAACCTTAATGAAGAGTCAGATTTACATTGAAAATCGATTTTATTTTTGATTTTTTTGTGTCTTAAAGATCTTACAAGTATGTTTTAATAAAGGATGTAAAATTATATACACGTATTTATCATTTTTTCCAATACATTTTCAAGAATCTGTTATATTCATACAAAAAAGTTTAATAATACATAAAAAAGTTTAATAATACATATTTTTTCTTCAAAAGAAGACATAGAGGATACTTTAAATTTTTTTTATAAATAAAAGGAAATTTTTTTTATGGGGGAATTTTAAAAAAAACATTTATGAGTGGCACCCACCACCCCCAGTGAAAAAATGATAATTTTTTTTAAACCCCCCCAAAAAAAAAAAAAAAGTCCTGTATTAATTGAAAAAAAAACTAGAATTTTCTGTTTATTATATACCATTCATTTTTTAATCTTATGATTTGAAAGAATGCCCTATTAATTTTGTGTTTTGACTGAATTTAGAAAAAAAAAGTAGTCCGGCAAGGCACCAATAAAACTACGGAAAATATGCTTGACTGTAGTGAAAAATAAATTTTTACAGTGAAAATACGGAAAATGTGAATACTCATTTTATTTTATCAATATTTTCAATATTTCATTTATAAGTATATAATAAATATAGTTTTTATTGAAGATATGAACAAAACGTTATCAGAAATATATTTCTAATTACCTCCCTTTATGAAATGTTAAATTCTGTCATATCTTTGTAAGTTTTTTTGCAAGGTATGATATTGATAATTTTTCATTTGAGCACCCAGTTTAGCATATTAGACTACATTTATATAAAATTTTGAGGTAAAGGGACTTGAAAAGCTTTTTAACAGATATATTGCGCAACAAAAACATCATTCTGGAAAAACAACGGGGTGAAAAAAATGAAATGAAAAAGTGCACACAAATCAGATTTCATCAAACGGGACACAGTTCAGGGGGAAAAAGATATTTTGAATCCCTTCATGTAAAAACACGGGTGAGACCCTTTAAAACTACTTGTCCGGCTTCTGTTTTCGAGTGGTTATGGTCGCAGACTTCAACTCACTTGCCTTGATTTTAGATACTTTTTCTTGTCTGAAAAATCGGACGGAACTCAACTGGGGCCCCTCTACGCCATTTTACTGAAAAATATCTGGTTTGCATTCCAAGGGATAATTAAGCATGTATGTAAGACCAACCACCGTAACATTGCCGAAATGAATGAATTTAGTAGATCTACATGTATCATTTTTTTTTTTCCTTGTTTATTGTTTCCATGTAAGGAGGAAGTTTAGGCAGACCTCAATATTGCCGTTGGATCTATCGCAGCAGTGCTCAGTGCAGCATTCAAGTCCCAGAGATAATTAAGAGTGTAAGGATCTTACACGTGCACCGCCTGCCGGTATAGACCGGAATATCTAGCTTGAATGTAAACGTACTGTTACAGCAGTTACGAGGCTCTGCCGAGTTTCCGCCCAACAGTTATTCGAGAGCAAGATATTCTCGTGTGTAACGGCAGCGCGGTGTTTGATTCTTTTTCTAGCATATTACATGATATTTATATTATTTTATACAGTATGTTTTTCTTACGCGTGCAGTAGCGATTTACAACTTCCTTCGTAACGAGAAAATGACGTATTCTTAAGAACGCAATTCATTCATAAAGGCGCGCGGGAATGGCGTCGTTTGAAGCACGCGACTACAGTACCGCTCAAGCCGGTCCTAGGGGGACTTGAGGGATGTTGCACCTTTTCATTGTCCCTCATGTACAGACTCAATCAACGCGAGTCAGCAGTTTTTTATGTTATTTTTGTTGCGATTAATGCTTCCGAATGGTCACACAGAGTTTGTCTTTCAGACAGCTTTTTCTAACACCGGCTGAAACCGCATATAATCCTGTCTGATATGAAAAAGATGAACTGGAAGCCATATTTATCCACTGTTTCTGCGATCTATCAGTGATTGATTGATTGATTTTGAGCACAAAATCTATTCGAATACATGTAGGAAAATTATTTCCGCGTAACACATGTTGCATGATGTCCAATGTTTATAGCATGTATACACATTTTACAATATTAGGACACGTTTCAACAAACAAAATATTTAATAAATGCATGTACAAGCACTACGTTGTTCTAAAGATCTATATATAATTATGTTCTGGCACGGATGATCTAAGGTTTCCGGCAAGTTCTTATGGTAGTCTCTAATGATAAACAGAGTAAATCGTGTCGATTTTGAAATAATGTTTTAACAATGGTCAGGCGACCAGACCAGCCCGTATTAATTGAGATTTTTTTAATCATTGTATTCGTTTCGACCTTCCCTACATGTAATGTGAGTCAAGAGGACGTTGGCTCTTTGAGAGCATAATAGGACTCTCTCAAAGGCCTATAACTGTAACATGGTTTTAATAAAAAAAAGCCTTTTGTTAACTTAGAAAATTTTACATTATCAATGCTCTTTTTACTATCAAGCACTAAGAATAGTCTAGCGTTGCTGTCCTACCGACAGCTCTTGTTAAAATAACATGCCCTGTTGACAAGACTTAGAGCTTAAGTTGTTTGAAATCATTGATGGATATAAGTCCTTGTAAATCATATCATACGATTATTGCTTATGCGTAAACATAATAAGAATATATAGGCAGATGAAAATCCTCGCGTCCCTTGTTGGTTAGTCATGTAGTGCTTTATGTCCCCTGATATATCCCGTTAAAATAATGATAGCTAGAGTATTGCGATGCCCTACAAATTATAAAACTTATAAATTTGCTCTATTTCTTAAGCAAAACAAGTAAACATACAAAACAATGGGCAACAAATTAATGATAAATATATATTTTTCCATTCTCGATTTCGGCAAATAAAATTAAAAAAAAACGACAGAAAGAAAAGAAAAAAAAGTAGAACAATTTGTTGATAGCTTTTGTTCAGAATAAAGGCAAAACAGCGATTTTTTAACTGTTAATTATAGTCTCGTAAAGTATTAATCCACTCACGGGATACATTGTCTACTGACTTATATTTTACCTAACAGATCCAGTAACACATATGTATTGGTGATTAGCCTAATTAGTTTAGTCAGTGTTAAGAATTTGTTGCACTGTGTTCATTTATTTTTATCAAAAGACACCGTTGATCCCGCGTCTGCTTGATATGTATGTGGTGACTGATATCAACTAAACTCATATATAAATGTACTTAAGTCATATACAAATGTATGTCAGTATTTTATTGTCAGAAACACATATACCTAACGAAATTCTGGACACATTTAAAATCATGAAAATCATTCAAGCAAGAGTCTTAAGTTGTTTGAAATCATTGATGGATATAAGTCCTTGTAAATCATATCATACGATTATTGCTTATGCGTAAACATAATAAGAATATATAGGCAGATGAAAATCCTCGCGTCCCTTGTTGGTTAGTCATGTAGTGCTTTATGTCCCCTGATATATCCCGTTAATATAATAATAGCTAGAGTATTGCGATGCCCTACAAATTTTAAAACTTATAAATTTGCTCTATTTCTTAAGCAAAACAAGCAAACATACAAAACCATGGGAAACAAATTAATAATAAATATATTTATACATTCTCGATTTCGACAAATAAAATCGACAGAAAAAGGAAAGAAAATAGAGTAGAACAATTTGTTGATAGCTTTTGTTCATAATAAAGGCAAAACAGCGATTTTTTTAAACTGTTATAGTCTCGTAAAGTATAAA